GCTAAATCAGGGCCAGGCTGCCCCCTGCCCTGGACTCTGAATCAGGACCTCTGGCCTGATCTGGCCCACAGATGGACTGGGCACTACCCATCTGGCCTGCTGGGCAAAAAGATCGAGCACCACTGCCTTTAAATAGCCACCCTAGCTTTGTTTGATAAATACCTGCCTGGACTTCGCAAAGATGTCCAGGGTCAGGTTCTGACAGGCTCTGGAAGTCTAAGGGAGATCTAAATCGGAGGAGCAACTGCTGAGAATTACCCTCCACATGCACAGTTTCTCCAAGGAGACTTGGCATATCGATGGTACTTGTAGGAGTTTGCCTTTAGCTGACCTTGGTATCTGCAATAGAGCATAAGGGAGAAGGCAGTCCTTTAAGTATGTAGGGCCCAGATTGTGACACTGACATTGCAATTTGACAGTGGCAAAATCACATTGTTCAAATCTGTGTATTATCGTACTTTTAGTCTTGCCACCTTTATTGTGTGCAGTTAAGTTTTAATCTTATGCTCCCTAGTTACATTTACAAGTAGGAAAACTAATTTTTCTTGTTAAAGATTTCAGGCTTTTGGAGACTTATTTGATGAAGCTATTAAACTAGGATTGACAGCAATTCAAACCCAGAATCCAGGTTTCTATTACCAACAGGCAGCTCACTATGCACAAGAACGGAAGCAGCTAGCAAACATGCTCTGTAACCATGATGTAAGTTGCAGATGGCCAATTGGCTACTTTTTGTTCTAAATCTCTGTTTATTAAAGCTTTACTGCAGAATAGATCAAAGCAAGTTTTATATGCATGTGTTGGTACAAGTGGAAAGTGAATTGCCTTAGTCTCTATGAGCGTCTTTATACATGCTCCAGCTGTGGGGGGGAGGTAGGGGGTGAGCCAGGGGACACTACAATTAGAGTGGCTCCTGTGAGCTGCTCTCATTAAAGTGCCCACAGCATCATGTGTATTCGGCATCCTGTGCTTCAAAATGGTGGTGGTGGTGCTTTAAAACTCATTGAACAAGCTCTAGCTAAAGTGTCCCCACTGCCATTTTGAAGCACAGGGATGCTGAATACACGAGACACTGAGGCTGTTGGAGCGTGCTAAATTATCATGCTCTAGCACACTTGGCTAATTGAGTCTGCTCCACACTACTTACAGGGTGTTGGATCCAATGTCCTGCACGTTTACAGGCACCCTGAATTTGGAAGGATTGTTCATGAATGTATAATTTACATGATCTCCACTGTGAATCTCATTTTTGGTGGCACGGAGTTCTGTAAAATATTTCCTAAATTGTCTGTATGTTGCTTGCTTGACAATTGGCAGAAAAGTTGTAATGAAGCAACCTCATGACACTTGTCCGTAGACTTTCATGTATAATTAGATCTACTTTCATACTATCTTGTTACAGTATTGTGAAATAGGGCTGTGCGGAAAAGCATCATTCCGCTTCAACTTCTGTTCGATGGAACAGTGGTTCGTTTAGAGTTTTGTTTCGTTTCGAAAGCACTGTTCCATTTTGTTTCAACAGAACTCTTTTGCTGTTTCAATGTTTTGCCCATAACTAGTGCTGGGAAGATCGGTGCTGCTGCTGGCCCCAGTTGGCAGCCTCAGCCTCCTGTCATCTGGCAGGCAGATCGGGGGCTTGCCCGCACACCTGGGAGGGCTGCAGGGACTGTGCCGGACTGCTCCTGGAGGTGCGGGCCCCTGATCTGCCTCCTGGATCACAGGAGGCTGGTGCGAGCACGAAACAGTGTCGAAATGAAACAGCTGGCGAAGCTTTGCACAGCCCTATTGTGAAATAGTATATTGGATTCCTGTTAGTGCAGTTGGATGATCTAATTAGGAATTAATAGGAAAGAATGGATCAATAATTGCTTGTAACTGCGACTTTTTTAAAAGAAAAGTATACACTAATTTTAAAAACAAATAATCTAATTGGCTTTTGCCTTTACACTATGTTAAACAGTCCACTTTTTCTTCGTGAAACCCAAGTAACTGAAATAATATTTTAAACAAATGGCTAGAAGTTAAATAAGCTGTTTAAAAAAGTAAGTTCCTCTGTTTCTTTCTGCATAAGTGAGTCTATAGTACTTATTTTGCTATATACTGAAACATGAGGTCAATTTTTTTTATATATTTTATAATATGAACCATTTTTCAAGGCTATGTTTGCTGAATTTACAGTCTTCTGTGACACATCCCATTCCGGATCCACTGGAAACTCAATCTGGAGTGCTTGACTTTTATGGACAAAGATCATGGCGGCAAGGAATACTAAGTAAAAGTTTTTTCCTGTTTTTAATATCTATAGAATTCAAACAAAATGATTTAAATCTGCAACCCTGTTATAGTTCTGGATGGGCAGGCATTGCATCTGTCCAGAGCTGGTTGACTTCAAAATTTTGAGGAGTTGCGGGATTGAAGCATTACTTGGTTCTTTTGGTTAGCAGTATAACCTTACGCACAATGGACAAAACGTGTTCCTAGAATGTTACTTGGAACCATCTTTTCTGCTTATATGGATTAACACATCTCAGTTTTCACTACAGATTTGGTTAAAATTTTTAGTTCTACTGCAATAGAATACAAGTAGTGCATAAAAGTATGAAATTGGTTCTATAGCTCTTACTCATGTGAATTTTTTTCCCTGTCCCATTTAAACACCTGTGGGAATGATTGCTGTTTTACAAATTTAATAAGGTCAGTTACCTTACTGTCTTCTGCCTTTGAAATTCTCTTGAAGAAGATCAAAAGGAGGCTAGACAACATAGCAACTAGACAGATTGCAGTCAGGTGTGACTGCACCATATATGGTCTTGGCCAAACTAACTTTCATCTGGTTAGTTTGGGTACTAATAACGGTGAAGCCACAGTAGCTTGGGATACATTCACCAGTTTGAGGTCCCCAGGCAGTCTTGTAAATTTTATGCTGAAGTCTGTGCAAATATGCCTTCATGGCTATTGGTAGCTCTGCTAGCAAAATTATACCTAGTTTTGTGTATTTAGAAGTCACATCTCTTATTGCAATGTAGAATGAGCTAGAAGATGGAGGGAGAGATGCAAGGAAGTTGGTGTTAAGCCCATGTATAGAGACCATAAGGTAAATCTGTACCCTCTGTAAAATAAGTCATGTCTCTGGATATCAAAGTATACTTAGAGATGAAAAGGTGAATTGCTAGATATGAAGTTGTGAAAGATCATTGTAGGGGTTCAACTAACAGTAAAAAAAAAAAAAAAAAAAAAAAACAACAACCCCAAAACCACATTATTTTCAAATTTCTGACACCAGTCTGAGCTTATGCATGAACATACATGCATGACCTTGAAATATTCGCATTATTGATTTTGTCCTTTGGTCATGTTTACACCATATCAGATGGAAAACACTCATGCTCACTCATTCCCATTCTATACCACTGGATATGGAAAGTGTCACGTAGCTGCTGTTAGTGGCACATGAAGACACCCAAGACTGAACCAGAGGGTATTGCTGAGCATTGTCTAAAAATCAGCTTCTTGGCATTTGGTGTGTATGGAGCTGGGCAAGTGGGCAGAGTGTGTTTTCAGGCTGATGCTCCTCAGCACAGCAGTGTACTGCAGGCATGTCTTTCTTCTCATTAATCCCTGTTACTATATAGTGGTAGATTTTAACTTTTGGACATTGGAGCTTTGATGCTGTCCTCTTGAAATGTTTTCGGTCTGATCGTTATATGTTTTGAAGAGTGAATTGGCTAGATAACATTTGAAAATAACAGTTTAGTTTGTAATCAAAATGATAAATATTACAGGATTTCAAGATTAATAGAAACTTTATTATCAACTGTGGGAATTCAGCATTCAGTCTTCCTGCTATAGTTAATAGTCTTGTGAAATAGCTCAAATAAAGCAGGGAACGATATTTTTTGCATTGCTTTAAGTTAGTGATTTTCAATTGGAGTGCCATGACAGCATAGGGTGCCTTGAAATCCTTTCAAAGGTGCTGCAAGGCATACAAACATGATTCACAAGATAAACAGGATTTCAAATAGGAATCCATAATGTTAAAAACATTGTGATCTGTTATGGTCTTTCTGAGTTCTTTGCAACAGAATTGGTCTTATTTTTCTGTAGTCAAAGAAAGAGTGAAAACTAAGCGTTTTTCAAAGGGTGTGTTCCGTCCATCATGGGGTGCCTAGAGTCAAAAGAGGTTGAGAGCCACTGCTTTAAATGCTGATGTCATGAACTATTGGTGGAGAAACACAGAACTGAAGTAGTCCTTTTTTTGAGAACTAGCGAACAGGAACAAAGCTGATAAGTAGTTCGTTTTGTAACTTGCAAATAGTGGTGTATTTGGTCTGGAGCACAGTGCTAGAAAATAGTTAAGCATCTTTGCTATGAATCCAGAAGTAAATTCAAGTCTTTCTCCAGACTTGTACCAAAGGCCCAAGTTGACACAGTCGTGAATGGCTAACTACCCACTTGGGGTGGGAGTCAAAGGTTGCAGAACATGATACTAGTTGCATGTCTCCCTTGTCTGCAGAAATAGATATGCCTTAACCATTCTATCCTGGTGGCATTTTGGGCTTGGAGGACCTTTGACTGTTTTACTTCCATGTTTGGATTAATGATTTGGGCCTTCTACAACAGTTCCCTTTAAAAACAGCAAGAATTTCTGCTCCAAAGTGTTCTTTGTAATATGAGAACCTAGCTCTATTCTATAAACATTCTTTTTCCTAAGCAATGACAGTATTAAGAACGTGACCGTGCCTGAATTGGAACTGGCAGTATATTTTGAAACAATGCAATAACTTCTTTTGGGACTGGACAATATTTTCAATTTAATGGATTTTTCATTGTCCTATGCAGGCTTTGATCTTTCTGATCCTGAAAAAGAGAAACTGGGAATTTTAGCTCTGCAATTGAAAGAGAGAAGTGTTCTTCACTCGGTAAATATTATTCTAAAACCTACTTCTGTGTTCTAATATGGTTATTAAGTATATCTCTCACTTTAACAGCATTTTTTTTTTTATCTGTTAGGAACTGATAATCACTTTGCTGAGTAACGCGGTTGCACAGTTCAAGAAATACAAATGTCCAAGAATGAAGAGTCATTTGAGTAAATATCACTTATCAAACACGTCTCTTTAACATTTTTTGCAGTGTTTTGAAGTATTGACAGTGACTTCGTTTTTTTTTTTTCAGTGGTTCAGATGGGAGAAGAGTATTACTATGCAAAAGATTACACTAAGGCATTGAAGTGAGTACTTTATGAATGCTACTTCTGTGCTTTTATTTTTCTCATTTTAAACGCGTAGATGTATATACATAGGATTGTGTTTGGAAATTTCATTCAAGGCCTTTCTTGTACTAGATATGGTCTGGGAGTAAACTTTTGAGTTTACAGACACTTGGTGACTGACCCATTTTGTACTCTTCTTTTGCTTCTTGGCTGAAACCTGAAAATTGTTCCAGTTTGGAAGTTCCTTCTGAAAGAGAGCAAAACCCAGCCAGTGAGCAAAGGTGGCCTAGTGGCAAAGTGGAACAGTCTAATATTGTGAATATTTAATCTGATAACTGCAAAGAGAACTGTTATCTTTCATACAGATCTGGCTCTGCAGCATGCAAGAAATACACAAAAAGGATTATTTGTATGTTGAATAAATTGGAGAAGGCAGTTCTATATTTAATATTCAAAATAAAAATAAGCCTTTACTTAGCTTTTGCATTTATTTGATTTGTAACAGTTATCAGAAGCTTGTCACCTCAGTATGCACCAAAGTTAAACGTACAACTATTCTCTTATGAACTTCCTGTTTTGCATTTCAATTTCTTTAATTTTTTACTTCATGGGGGAAGGTGGGGGAAAGGTGAAGCATATGTTAAAAGTAAGCATTGTAATTAATCTGTTAAGGTTTGAAGGTCACAGTTTCTATTAACAAGAGAAGGCAGGTTGGCTGAGAAGGATAGTTGTCCTAAGTTTACTTCTGTTTGCTGGAAAAGATCTTCTGAAGGACTTATCTCATGGGGAAAAAATTACTTTGTTGATAAACTTAGTAAAACCTAATTTTAATTTGAACCTATCCCTCAATATAAACTAAGGCCAAAAAAACGGCTCTTATATCGGAATTGGGGTATCTCTACAGGGAGCATAACTATATTAGTAAATGTATGGCTTTGGGTATACTAAGGAGACTTTCTGCCTGCATAGACTGTTTTTTCTGTTTAGTGTGAAACTTTCCTAGCATTAGTGAAGATGAACTAGTGTTACAATAGTGGTAAGGGTTGGGTTTTTGAAGGGTTTTTGTGTGTCTGTTTGTTTTGGGTTTGGTGTGTTTGTTTGTTGGTTTGGTGGGGTGGTTTTTTTTTGAGGTTTTTCCCCCAAATTTTCCATAAAATAGCTAACTCCTGTTATGGTAGAAGATGAACAGTTTCTAGCAAAAAAGGACAGAAGTTTTTAATGAGAATTTAAGAATGTATGTAATACTAAGGGCTATTTATTGCTTGCAGTAATCAAATTTGCCATGGTTTTTACCACTCTGTCTAGGCTAAATTAATTTCTAGTGAAGTAACCATCCTTTCTAAACTATGGTGTCCACTGCCTAATAGAAATAATGCCTCTGTCTTTCAGACGGCTCTTGATTACTTTTTTTGTAAGAGACTGAAACTAGTTTACTACTTAGTGACAAAAGTTAGTAGCAGATGTTTTGTTTGGCATGCATTTTTGTGTTTCGTAAGAAGTGCTTGTGCATTACGTCCTACTTCTGTTTAATTCTCTTCCAGGCTGTTGGATTATGTCATGTGTGAATACCGTAGTGAAGGATGGTGGACCCTCCTTACTTCCATCCTGACAACAGCTCTGAAATGTTCTTACCTTATGGCACAGTTAAAAGATTACATTACTTACTCTCTGGAGCTGTTGGGTAGAGGTATCCTTTAAACTGGTGATTCCCAAAGGGTGTACCATGAGAATAACAGAAACATGCTGCAAGATATTCCCCCTGTGTGAGGAGGTAAATACTAGGGATGTGCAAAGCAGGCCCTACTTGGTTCGGATTTGGCCCGAATCAGGGACAGTGATTCGATTTGTTGATTCAGATCACTGTCCCCGATTTCAATTCGGCCAAATCCGAATCTGAAGATTCGATGCCAAATCAGCGATTTGGACAAAGACACAGCTTTAAATGTTTTTTTTTTTCTACATACCTCAAGGTACCAGCGTGGCTTGTGAACCCTGCAATGTTGGGGCGGATGGAGCATCCCACAGGAGCATGGAGGGGGCCCCGCGACATGCTCAGTGGTGAACTTGGAAGTGGACCAGAAGTACTTCTGGGTCCACTGGGGATCAGCCGCGGGGGTACCCCAAGTGCCCCCCAGACCCAGGAGGCACCAGTTGCCAGGCTGGGGGGGGGGTGCAGGGAGGCCCTCAGCGCGCTCTCTAGTGGACCCAGAAGTGGACCGGAAGTGATTCTGGTCCACTTCTGGGTCTGCTGCCAAGAGTGCTGAGGAGCCCCCCACACTCCTGTGGGACGCTCCATGTGCCACAGCACCGCAACATTCACGAGCCACCTGCTACCTTGAGGTATGTAGAAAAAACATTTAAAGCTGCGTCTATGTCCGAATCTCCAAATCGATTCGGAGGGTTCCGATTCAGAGAGGTTAAAGGGTCCTCTGATTCGATTTGGATTCAGAGATTCAGCCACTGAATCGGGCCGAATCTCTGCTGAATCGAATCGGGGACCAAAGCTTCACATAGCCCTAGTAAATACTTGTCTGCCCCAGCTACTCCTGCAGCTGCTCCTTTTGGGGACTGCTGCTGTTGCTGCTGCTTCCACCTCCCCCTTCCTCTTTCCTAGTCGGCACCTGTACTGACCCACATTCCTAGCAGCACACTCCACTATGAGTGGGCAGGTGCACACAGATGGAGTTGCACTTTGCAGCCTAGATCATCCCCTTCAGTTCTCCCATGCTCCCAGTCCTGGCAGGAGGGGCCATGCAGATGATTGTCAGTATGTGAGACCTTGTAGGAGAAGTCTCAACAGTAGGGGCTGCCCTTACCCCAAGGTACAGACCAGGGATGAGTAGGGCAGGTGGTGGAAAGAGCAAGACACCGCAATATGAGGTCTTGCCCCTGCTGCTCCTGTGTCACCTGCTACATCAGTGATTGGTTTGTTTGTTTGTTGTTTGTTTGTTTTTTTTAAAGCCTTAAGGCCCATCTCCGTATCTTTCTCTCTTTTTTTCTGAATTTAGATATTTCACTGACTTTTTTTACTGGGAGGCTGCAAAATTCAGAAAAGTTATGGAGGGGTGCCTTGAGGCAAAAGGTTGAGAAACACTGGCATAGACTAAATCTTTGCTTAAATAAATGTGTTTGGCTTTTTTTAACAGTATTGGAATGATTTCTTTTGTCAGGGGAGTGGAATATGTTACATACTTAAAAGTGTGTGTGTGTGTGTGTGGTACCACGCACGCACACCCTATCTTCTTGGGTGTAAGAGTGAGGTAGATGTGCCACCAATTTTGATCCAGAAAAAAGTATGCCCTTGGTATTAAAAGTTTGGGAAATGTTGCTCTAAATAGTGCATTTTAGTCTTACAGTTGTGTAGTGGTTGAGATGCATCACTTCATATATTTTAAGGTGATCTGTCAATCTGCACTCATTTAAATGTCCCACTGCAAGTGGGTGCAGTTCAGCACTTACTTTGAAGCCAAATCATTTTATGCCAGGGCTGAACTTCTGGCTTTTTAGTTCTATACTTTGAAAGTAAAACTTACTGGGCTTTTTTAGCTTAAAAGCATCACAAGTCAAGAGCGGACTGGCAGTGGAGGAGATGCAATGAATATAACTCTCAGTTGGTGACCAAAAGTTGCCAGGTTAAAATAATACAGTTGAAAGATGTTGACCACTTGGAAAAAAGTTTGTAATGGAACAAGACTAAAGAGAGACTACTTGCTCATGCATGCAGTACATTAATTTAGTCTGGACCACTTTCCCAGTCTATTCCCAGCTGCACTAAAACAGGATGATACAGTTGTCTTGAGAGGAATAAATGATGCAAGCCTTCATTTAAAAAAAATTAAAACTTTTTTAACCAAAAACTGCATACTTTGCTTTCAGAAGATTGTAGTCTTCACAAGTAATCCAAGCATTTTCCTTTTTGCTTGTTATTGTTAATAGTGCAGCAATATTTCCCCCCACCCCTTGATGCCCTGGGAGCATGGGATGCCCTTACAGTAGGTGTTTTCAGCTCTTTGTTCTTTCTTTGTCCTAATCTGTCTATGCTTTTACTAGCATGGTCTCACTAATTATTCCAAATCTTTTCTCCTGTATAAAGGGAGGACTCTTGCTCCTTCTTCTGTGTTTGGTTTTTATATCCCTTATCCTGCCCTCTTCACGGTTATTAACCAGGTTTTATTGTAATGTGTCAAACCACGCTGCTTGTCCTTATAAACAAAAATTACATGAAGCCTTTAGCAACGCTTACAAAAACAAGGTGTAAGAGTTTGGCTCAAGATTATTTTGTCATAGTTGTTGTCTTCACCTTGATTTGTGTGTGAATAAAACGAAGGTCTTAGAATAGAGAAAAAAGACTTCAAGAATTAATAGAATTGTTATTTGCAAATACCAAAATGTTCATGTAAAGTCTTTCATGCAAGTTCTAGGATTCTCAGATTTGAAGTTCAAAGACTTAAGTTTTTATTTTTATTTTTATTTTTTTTTTTTTTAAATCAGCATTATGAGGATGCTTTGCCTTTTTGTTTTGTGGGTTTTTTTGTTTTCCTTCATTCTGTTTGTTAGCATCCACTCTGAAAGAGGACCAGAAATCTAGGATAGAAAAGAATCTGATTAAAGTTTTAATGGTAAGTTGATAACATGTAACTTGCTTTAATTATTCTCAAAAGATATATCAGCATCTGGCAAATGTTTGTAATCTAATATTTGGGTACAGAATGAGAGCCCGGATCCTGAACCTGATTGTGATGCTTCTGCTGTGAAAACTTCACAGAAGCTGTGGGCTGACCGAGTTTCATTGGCAGGCAGCAATATCTTTACAATAGAAGTACAGGATTTTGTACCATTTGGTAAGTAGCAAATGTTGAAGTACAGCCATGTTCAGATAAATGTGCAAAAACCAATTCATTCCAATTTGCACCATCACTTATCAGCAGGTCCCAAACTCTGACAGATTGTGCACCACCAATTTAAAACCTTAAGTATCACCAGCAAACTTTTGTCATATAAAGTAATTACAATAACTATGTTAATGTGTACCACTGGTGGTACGCGTACCGCAGATTGGGAACCACTGACTTATGCCAACAAATACACTTAAAGCCACCTACATTGCTGGAGTGAGAAGCTGGTTAGAAACGTTGAGCCATATTTTTCTCATATATTTTGGGAGTAGAAGAAATTTAGTCAAAGAAACTTAAGCAAAACCTAGTCCTGAGAGCAATACAGGATTTGAAAAACAAGTTCCCTGAACTTCAGCTAAAGTTATACTAGGCCCAATATGGGGATAATTCAGTTCTGCACTGACTCTATATGTTATATGCTTTGTAACCAGAATGGCATAGGAATGGGGAAGAAAGCTATCTACTAAATGACCCTGATTTCTCACCCACCCACTCATCTAGCCCGTACAGTGAAGCATGTAGGCCGCACTATGATCTGCAAACATAGTAAAAGTGTCCTTGCTTTCTGTTTGTCACTTTTCTCTTTCCCAACAATCCCTGTAGGTCCACTTGCACAGCCTGTTTATTAATTTGGTTTAATAATGTAATAATTTTTTTGGCCCTTTAATATGCTTACAAGTGGATGCAACTTTAAGGTGTGTGTGTGTGTGTGTGTGTGTGTGTGTGTGTGTGTACATATGCACACATGCATGTGTATCTACACACATCTGTATACATGTATGTAGGATATAGCTGTATGTATCCATGTCATACACAGCGTTTAAAGAAGAGGGTATTTATGATGGAATTTAGTGTTAGCAGGACAGTATTGTTCATGTAACAGATCTTTTTCTGTTAAATTCTAGTACAATGCAAAGCAAAATTTCTTGCTCCAAGTTTTCACGTTGATGTCCCTGTTCAGTTTGATATATATTTGAAAGCCGATTGTCCTCATCCTGTCAGGTTTTCTAAGCTATGTGTCAGCTTCAATAACCAGGTAATTTTTGTTTTCTTTGTTTGAGCTTTTGTTAGAGGACAGTTAGTTTCTCATAATAGCACTTACTGTAATTTTGAAAGGTTCATGGCACTTCCCTTTTTGTGGTTTTAATATTGCAAAATAGCCACTTTGACACTTCAAATTGGAAAAGCTTCTATTTCTGTTAATTTTTTTTTCCTTTACTTTTCTCCCAAGAACTAGACTAACATCATGATAAATTTCCAATGTTTCTTTTAATACAATTTTTTTTCTCTTGTAGAACTCTGAAAATGTCCTTCCTGAAATTAAACATTTTATATGAAACCCTAGAATGAGTCAGGGTTTTTATCTCTCTACTAAATTCACTAGGGCAATTACATTTTAATTAATAGTCCTATTTAGGGTAACAATCTTCCTTATGAACATGCCTCTGATCAGTGACTATTCAGAAAGATGGGTTTAAGAATGTTTTAGCATAAGAGGATAGTTCTCTGATAAGTAATGAAGAGGTAACAGTAGTTCATATTTGGCATACATTGTCCACATACAGTACAATATCCTTTTAAAAAAAAAATTATAAATATTAAAAATCTCAACTTTGTTTTCCTCACTTGCTTGTAGGAATATAATCAACACTGTGTGGTAGAAGAAGCATATCAGAAAAGTGATATTCTGGAACAGTCATCCCAGGGAACAATGTGTCTAGTCCCTGGTAAAACAAGGAAGTTCACTTTTATATTTGTTGCAAAAACTGAAGATGTGGGAAAGAAGATTGAGGTTTGTTAATTAGTCTCACAATTTTGCTTGCTGTAATGTTGTTTTCTTCTTAAGCCAAAGCTGCTTTAGTTCTATGCTAACTACTAATGTACCAGTCTTTCATCTATGGTTTCTATTGCTTTTAAAAGTAATTCCAAAATTGAAAGTAAAATTGCACTGTTGACTCCTGGTATTGAACAGCTGTGGAGTTTTATATAACTTTTTTCTAAAACAAATCGCAAACTCAGTGAGTTTCATGACATACACTTAAAAGTGAAAAATACAAATAACTTTATATCAGCACGTTGAACATCTGCATACCTAGTGACCTGGACATCTATACTCCCAACAGCCTTTGTGGTTTGCTATGTGATATATATGAAACGGCTGTATATACTGCAAAATAACTAGAGTTTCATGTTGGCAGAATGACCAGAAAACCCCCAGATATCTATAACATGCTTGAATTAATTCTTTTCAGATCACCTCTGTGGATTTGATCCTGGGTAGTGAGACTGGCAGATGTGTGATTTTGAATTGGCGGGGAGGAGGGGGAGATGCTGCTTCATCTCAAGAAGCCTTACAGGCAGCCCGCTCCTTCAAACGGCGACCTAAACTTCCAGATAATGAGGTTCATTGGGACAGCTTGACTATTCAGGCAAGCACTATGTAAGCAGAAGCTAAAATGTGTGATGATGCAGATCATGCATATCTTCCCTATGTATTATATTTATTGGGGTAAAACAAATAAGCTTAAAAATAATACAAGCAGACTATAAAAGATTAAATGGCTCTTCAAGATTCCATTACTTGTTTGTTGTTGATTGCCCTAAGTTGGTTATTTCTATATCTGTCAAAGAAATAAAGACCTCTAATATATTCTTCTAGATCTACAGGTTAACCTAACCCAAAGGCAAACCATACAAGCTTCAGTTCTGCTTTAAGCATCTCGCCCAAATATTCAAACTTGCTTTGTTGGCATAACCAAGGAAGTTATTTACAGCAATTTGAGTATGCAAAAATGGCCTGAAAAGCTATATTACCAAACATACTAATGCTAACTATAGATGCTTTCAGGGCCATTATATATTCTTCATGACAGCATATGTTTGCTGTGGGCTTTTTGTTCATTTGCTCACAGAAATGTGAGCTCTTCACACTTGCTGAGCCTCCTGTTAATTCTAATGTGATTTGTTCCAGAATATTTCCATACTACAATTTTTTTAAGGAGTTTCAGATCCAATTCACTTGTCTTCCACCCTCAGAACTGTTTCAGCAATATACAGCATTAGTCTCTTTAGTTAGAATTAAACTTTTTTACCCAAAGAAATGTAACTGAGCTTTCTTTTTTGTATGATGCAAGGATAATTTCAAGAGTGCCAAACATTTCTGTTCAGCTCCGACACGAACCTCCTGCCCTGACTAATGAAATGTACTGTTTGATTGTGACAGTTCAGTCACATGAGAAAACGATTGCCAAAGATGTTAAGCTCACTGCAGGGCTGAAACCAGGTATGTTGCTTATTGTCAAGGTGGCACCTTATTGCACCCTTAGGCACTGTATAAGTTAACTAAAACCCAGCCCCTGCTCCAGACAGCAGCTTGCCTGTAATTCTAGGGTATAAAGAAAACATGATAGGTGAATTAAGAGCCAGGTAGGATTGGGGGTGAAAGGACCAGGTTACAGTTAAAATAGGTGGGTATGATGAAACTAATAAGTCCCATTTCACCTGTTTTGGCAGCTTAAGTACTGTAATATGGTGATGCTTTGTAGGCTTCCCAAAAAACCTGTTTTTTAAGGAGGTTTTGAGAGGGAAGTGAAATCCTTTCCCCATTCACACAAACTTGCCCCTGTCTACTTTTATATTGTCTATTAGACTTTTCAAAATTATTCAAGTTTATTTGTGTGAGACTGTGCAGAGAGCTTCAAATACAGAACTAGATGAGCATTTCATTTAAAAATAATGCTTTTGTGCTCTTCTGGGAAACTTGGGATCCAGCCCTGAACCACTTGAAATAAAGTAGCAGAACTGAAGTCTGTGTTCATTACAGGCCAGAAAAGGACAGTAGCAGCAAATATATTTTGGGTTCAGTTAGTTTCACATGGGGCCCCTCTAGGTCTTCAGGTGAAGATGTGATGTGCAAATCACACAGTTGTGCCTCCTGCCATGCCACACATATGGCAGGAGGCATGATTGTGGGATCCAGCATTAGATCCTATCCTGCTTTATTGCCAGTTACAGGAGGAGCCTGGAAGATTGTCATCCCAGACTCCCCCTGCATCAGCAAGTAAATTTCTGTAGCTAACAGGACTGGACCTAGAGTTCTGCGGCTGTGGGACTCATCCTGGCCACAACCCCCTGGCACTGGGATACAGAGTCTTGCAGCTGTGGACTTTTGGTCCTGGTGGCTGTGGGGCCTCTTCAGCTGGGAGCCCAATAAGTAGATTGGGCTCCCAGCTGTAAAGGCAGACCCTATTACACTTGCAAATTAAAGCTGGATAGCAACCAGCTATAAAGTTTAGTACACATTTTCAAGACCTAATTTTATAGCTGGTTAGACCTTCTAATGGTGAGAGAGAGACTTTGCATGTGTAGCTGGTCTCAGTTCATTGCTCAGTACCTGAAATGTGAAGAGGCGGCCATAGTTACTTGCTCGTTTGGGCTTTCTATTTTGGATATTCTACCCGTTGGTACTAGTAGCATCCAGAATGAACGGTGGTAGTTCTGAAATATTTTTGCTTTCTGGTAATAACTGTGAAAATGCTTCTACCTATCATTTTAATATCGTTTCATATAGAATTAGATGCACTGAAATAAAGGTAGAGGCTTAAAATCAAGGCTCTCTTGACCTTTTAATCTTAACTTGATATCTGACAACCTTCTGGGTTTGCTAATTTGTGTGGTGGGTTTTTGTTTTGTTTTTGTTTTTTGTTTTTTTAGTTTTTTGTGTTTTGGTTTTTGGTTTTTTGGTTTTTTAAAAGGGGAGCTGAAATTTGATTTTTCTATCATTGAAAGGCTCTGTCTTCTGTGGCCATGATGTTTTGACAAAACACAACTTCTGGGATTTTTCAGACTATGGCATGATCTTTGTAAATCCTTAACTCCAGCCTGAGTGACTGATTCCCATGAGCTTTAAAAATATATGTTTACATGTGTTAAAGGAAGAATATGTTTTTAAAATTATTTGAAACTTAGTTTAATATTATTTTATTTGGCAGTAGACACTAAAGATGTATATTTTGTTCACAGTAACATTTCCCTTCAGACTTGTGTGTTTACCTCTCCTCTCCATTGGCATTGGTTGCCAAACCATCAGTCTGTTTCCAAAAAAAAAAAAAAAAAAATCTTCTGAGACGCAATAATAGTTTGGGTGTTTTAGGGTAGCATTTAGGGCCAATTCCTGCCCTTCTGACTGTTCTATTTGAAATAGACCAGACAGAGTTAGAAAATGTTATAACAGATATAAGCCATATAATCATCCAAATTAATGAAAGCCATTGTACTCTGGTTTATGTTTTGCTTTCTCATTTGGTTGAGGCGTATTTCCAGTAGCAGTTATGATTCTTAATGTAGCTTTTTGTGATAAATACATAATACCTATTTACTAGCAGTAGGTGACATAAATGATTAAAACAAATCATTTGTGGGTGTAAAAGCAGAATATTTTTATCATAGGGCAAGATGCCAATCTGACACAGAAAACCCACGTGACCCTTCATGGGACAGAGATGTGTGATGACTCCTACCCTGCATTACTTCCTGATATTCCAGTAGGAGATTTGCAGCCAGGAGAAAAGGTGATGCTCTTGAGTGACTCCTTTGACTCAAATTAAGGAAATGTTTCTTAGTTAACCTGAAAATGTGCATTGGCTGCTAGAAAGATAGGCATATTGTATTTAGAAGGGCTTTAGATATGATGACCAGCATATGGATAGCCTTAAAGTAGTTAGTTTACCTGGGGGCTGACTCTGTTGCTGTTTTATGTTTTAGTGTATTATGGACTGGATCACAGTTCACAGGGTCTGAGCTGTGTGCTGGGAATGGGTACTACTGGCTCCTAGTTCCTGTTAACTGAATATTAACCAAGAAGGTTGATCTCAGCTGGGAAGTATTTAACATAAATATACAATGAAAAATTGCAGAGAAATTGCTTTCACAGGGCTAGGCTATGCTTCTGCCACCTTTGATATGAAGCCTAGTACTGAATAGATGGTAGTAAAGAGGTTTGATACTGTGATGTGAAGCTGAAAAGAAGGAAAAGTTTATGAAGCTCTCTAAATTCCCCATTCTGACAAAGGAGAGTGAGTTTAGGGTACTTAAGTAAACCGGTTGTCAGTTGAATTTGAAATGTCAAGTCTAATTTAGGAAATGGCAAATAGTTTGGAACCAGTGTAGCTTCTATAAGTGAATGGTGGCTGCACTGGTACTTGTCAGCAGCCTGAGTGTTATATCTCTTAACGTGTGCTGACTTTTTGGTGGATGTAAGGAAGGGAGTATTCCTGTTCATGAAAGACAGAAGTTAATAGCAGGCACTAAAATTAATTGTCTTCCTACCTGACCTGCATAGATAAGAGCAGTACAGTAAAACTCATGAATATTTGAACTAACAGCTGATAAATTGCAATTTTGTTGCATCAAATAACACCTGGTGATCATTCCAGTCTAGTACTGTAAGTAGTAGGTGAACAACAGTGAAGTGACCAATATTGTCTTTTTTTACTTCATTCTTTTATTTTACAGCTTGAAAAAGAAGTTTACATTCGTTGTGGGACAGTTGGTACAAGGATGTTTCTTGTTTATGTCTCCTACTTAATCAATGCTGTTGTTGAAGAAAAAGAAATCATCTGCAAGTGTCACAGGGTATGATGAATTAAGTGCAGCAGTTGCTTCCGATGCAGTCTTTGGGTGGACCTTCCATTGCACATTTGTTCATTCTGAAATGTTTCTAAGAAATGGGGAATTCCTAGAATATGAAAATCAGTGGTGCAAATAGTAGGATGGTATTAAATGAAGTTACCAAGTAGAGTAATTGGGTGACATGGTCAGGTATTTTACACTTATTCATTTTCATGTTGGCATTAAATGTACCGAATATCCAGAGTGGAAGTGCAACACTTAGGGCTGTCAGATCTATATCAAAGAGAAACCCCAACTCAGGTTGCATTCTGAAAGAAGTACTTTCCCCAGATGTGACAGGATTACTTTCTGAATGGAAAGAAAGGTACACCGTGCTTCTTTGACAAGTAATTCAAAACGCAAAACCAAAGGAGGTTACTTGGGGAATTATGTTGCTTTGTTAGCAGCTCCTATTGAAAAAATGAAAGGCTCAAGGGACAAGGTTAAAGGAGAAGAGAGATGGAGGAAATGTAGGTGGACATACAGTGAATGATATTTTGAGGTGATGCTGTTTCTGGCAAGTGTAAGAATATAAATTTGTTTATGAACAAATTTAATACTGCAGCAGAAAAGGATTATATACTTGGAGTAATGGAATTCCATGTACTCCAGTTTGACAAATCTGGTGCTCTGACTGAAACTGTGGGGACACTGTCAAATCAATATCTACTTAATTTTAGGAGAAAAGAACTTCAAATCCTGAGTTCCCTGTCTATTCCCTAACAGTGGGGCCAGAGTGCCAAAAACACCCCAATGCTGGCTGCATGTGCCTCTCTGGGCAGATAGTGGAGGATGGGGCCGGGGTTGCACTGACCCAGCCCCTTCCCTGCCCTGTGACCTGAGGTGCATGTGCAGTCACCATTGACATGGAGCCAGTGCTGGGACTTTGGAGCCTGGTGCAGCTGTTTGCAGCCTGTCTGCCACCTGTTGCAGCTGCCTGGGTCGGCTGTGGCGGGTGGTCAGGAAGCTGCAAACAGCTGTGCCAGGATCTATGGCAGCAACGGGTGCATGCGTGCCTCTGGGCAGATGGCAGGGGAGGGGCCTGGGACAGTGCAACTATGGCTGTCCTCCGCTGTCCACCAAGAGGTGTGTGTGAAGCCACACCAGCAAGAAACCCAACCAAGGGCTCTGGAGCCCGGTGCAGCTGTTTCCAGCCTTTCAGCTGCCTGCCACAGCTGGCCTGAGCTATGGGCAGCTGCAGCAGGCTGCAAACAGCTGCAACAGTCTCTGGAGTACTGGTACTGGCTTAGTGACGGCAGTAGTTGCACATGCACCACTGGGTGGACAGTGGGGAAGGGACTGGGGTTGCGCTGCTCTGGGTCCCTCCCATGCTGTCCCCACAGACACGTGTGTAGTTGCTGCCACTGTCACAGAGCCCAACCAGGGCTCCAGAGCCCAGTGCAACCGTTTGCAGCCTCCTGGCTGCAGCGAGCTTGGGTTGTGGGCAGCTGTTGCCAGCCACAGAGCACAAGCTGCTTGCATCAGGACTTGCAGCCTCCCAGCCACCTGGTGCAAGCAACCTGGCACACGTGCGCCATACTCTGGCACACATGCCGGGAGTTGCTGACCCCTGCCTTAACATTTGGATTTTGCTAGTTTTTGAAAAGGCTTCTTCTCTATCCTGTTGTCTGATATACATATGAAGTAAAGGAATTCTCAAAGAAAACTCATTTCTCTAATGTCTCTTGTTTCTAGTTTCTCTTAATATTATTTTGACTAGTTGTATAGGCAGGATTTTTTTTTTAATAAAATTGTAGCATTTTGAGATTATTTAAATTGGATTTGTTAGGGAATGCTTGTTTAGAACAAGTGTACCATCTACAAGTGACTTTTTTCTTTTTATTGAATGCTAATATGACATATTCCTAACAGAATAGTTTTATGCTTTCTTAGTTGTCTATAGCAGTGATTGGCAACCTCTTTCTTTTTGGCTGCCAAAGTGAACCAGTTCTGGTCAGAGGCAGTGAATGCCAGGACTCGGCCATTGCCACGGCTTTTTCCCACGGTGGCATGGGGAAAGTTCCTGCTGCCTCTGATTTTTTGGGCAGTACTGAGAAAGCTCCTGCTACAGCAGAAGCTCTTGGCCACCAAATGCAGCAGAAGCCCCATGTCCACATGCTGGATCAAATGCCTGTGTGTAGGTTGCCAATCCCTGCTCTATATCAGTAAAATTTGTTTCAGAATTGGCATATAATGAAAAGGCTACCAAATCATTCCCTTCTCCCTCCCCACAGGTTTTAGATGAATTACTTCATAAACCTATCTAAAAAAAGGAAAATGTTGATTTCTGTGGTTGCCAGTATTGATGGCTGATAGGTTTTTGTTTTTAAATGTTTCTTATGAAGGGGAGGGGTTGAGAGGAACAGTAGCCTGGGAAAGGTTGGTGATATCACTAGTGAATTTGAGACCCAGTAGCAGCAACTGTTTTATGTATAATGTCAGTATCCAGACTTGAAATGGAATCATGTCACTCTTTTTCTCTCTGTTTAGGATGAAACAGTAACTATAGAAACTGTGTTTCCATTTGATGTTGCAGTCAAATATGTCTCTACAAAGGTATGTTCCCAAAATTTTGTTGAATTTCTGTGATTCTGCAGCATCAAAGTGGACAGATGTGACCGACACCTTCTTTATGTTGTCTTTTAACAGTTTGAACACTTGGACAGAGTTTTTGCAGACATACCCTTTTTACTAATGACAGACATTCTGAGTGCTTCACCTTGGCCTCTCAGTATTGTCAATAGCCAGCTACAGCTTTCAGCTTCCATGATATCAGTGGATCAACTGGAATCTTATGTGGAGAATGGTAAGAGTTTATATTGTTCTTGTTTCATAAGAATAATTATTTTTGCATGGGTTAGGGATTGGAAAGAAAATGTATATGCTGTATAGTACTGTATACTGTACAGTATAGTACTGTATTCACTTTTTTACATGACAAACTTCTAATTAATTTGTCAACACTATCAAAAGTAATATTGTCACTCGTAGCTAAGGTTTAGAGAGAGAGAAAAAAAGTTGAAATAGAGAAACTTCATCTGTACCTGCTTGAGTTATGCCTGGGTATTTGAGAAGGAAAAAAATGCAAGATCTAATTTAGGCAGTGGATAATCTCATTTGACATAAAGACCATTGTACAGAAAACAAGTTAGAAATGACTCACTGAAGAGATAAGCATATTTGCTTGCTACCACTTTCAGGAAGTGGCTGTTAACTCTTCTCCCAGGCAGTAACAATTGTAAATTACATTTGAAAGCATGTTTTTGGTACAGTAGTTAATTTCTTTACCTTATTTTAAGTACCATTATGCTGTTTGTTTGGAAAGGGGATATTGGGATCTCTTATGAGCACAGATCTCGGTTTTCTGTGATTTTAAAAAATCACAAATTCTCTTTTTTTTTTTTTTTTTTTTTTTTTAACTGTTGGGAAACCATCAAATCCATGGTTAAAATTAAATGCCCCCTACAGCCTCCCTGCTCTGCTTGTGCCCACAGCCCTGCCAGAGGGGGCCCCAGCTGCCAGGGCTATGGGGCCAGGAACCCAGGTTTGCAGCTTCCTGCCCCCAACGGAAAGCAGCAGCTACTGCAGGAGGAGCATGAGCCAGCTCCCCCTCTACTATGGGCTCAGGTGGGGCTGGCTCCCAGCGGTAGTGTGCACTCCTGGAGGGCAGAGGGGATCTGTGCCCCCCAGATCTGTGGGGGTGGGGGAAGGGCAGGTGTGCGCTGTGGGCTTATGCTCCCCACCCTGCTGCCCTCTCCCAGGCCCTCTGGAGCACAGCGTGTGCAACCCAGCATTGCAGTGCACAGGGGGCATGCACATGAAAGCCGCCAGCTGCCGCAAGCTCAGCACTGCCCTAGCCACACTTCCCCTTAGGTGGGGGCAGCAGCGAGGGGTGCAACCCTGCGCTACCCCCATGTGCACAGGGGAAGCATGGCCAGGGTAACATCAAGCTTGCAGCAACAAGCAGCTTTCCTGCATGTCCCCTCTGTGCCCTGCGGCGCCAGTTGCGTACACTGTGCTCCAGAAGGCCTGGGGGAGGGCAGCAGGGCAGGGAGCACAGCATTTGTGACCCAGGGTTTATAACCCCCTAGGCACTCCGGCTGGGAAGGGGGAGGGGTGTTTGCAACCTCCCTGCTCCGAGCCGGAGTGCCCAGCTGGCTGCAAACTGCCCCTCGCGGCCAGAGAGTGTCCAAGCTGGCTGGGGTGGGGGCAGGCAGGAGCAGTTTGCTGCTGGCCAGGCACTCCAGCTAGGAGTGGGGAGGCTGCAAACCCATTCCCCCTACTCCCAGCTCGAGTGCCTAGCCAGCTGCAAACCACCCTGCCCCACAACCCCCCCTTACCTCCAGCAAGAAGAGTGAGCCTGAAGCAGCCTCTGGTAACTGCGAGCATCAGGCCCTGCCCTTCCTCCCTTCCCCTCCAGGCAGGGTTGGAGATTTCCCTTCCCCTTTTGCAAATAGCTCTTGCAGGCTGAAACTCAGCCACCCTGCAGAGCTCTTTTATCTGCAGGTTTCTCCTCTTAAAGGGAAAATCTGTGTGTTTTCTCTGTTTTTCCATGGAAAATGGGAAAACCCAGATCCCTGCTTTATGAGGAAATGTAAGGCAGTTTATGGCTCCATACAGTGATGTCCTAAACTCTTGGGTTTGGTCTAGCTTCTTTCTTTTGGGTTAAATCCAGTAAAATTGCAACAGTGTTTTGCTCTTGATTTTAAGGAGACACAAAAATTTACTATAATCTCTGGCTTTGAATGTCTCAGACACCAGCTAGGGCAGGAGTTGACAGCCATTTGTTGGCAGGGGCTAGACCTTGTGAATTTCTGCCTTGTCTTCCCCTGCTGCCCAGTGACCAGCTGCTTGTCCTCCCCCTTGCTGTAGATACCTGACCCCTCTGCAGTGAGGAAAGCACAGATGCAGCACAGGAGCAAGCTCTGTAGTGGAGGGGAGCTCTTAGGAGGGGTGGGTAAAATGGCATAGCTCGCAGGTTGTCAACCAGGTGTATGTGTACCCCCAGGGATACTTGAGAAGGTCCTAGTGAGTACTCACGGCTGAGTGGTGACAGAGTGCCATCAAACACCATTCCACACAGGCACTGCCTGCCTGGATGCGGGAGCAGGGGAAGGTTGCACATGGTGGCTGCCGCCACTCCACATCTGGCCGCCGGGGGTACACTGACCCAAAATGTTTGAAAACCCCTGGCATAGCTCCCTGTCGCCACTTCCTCCATGTTGGATGAGATCTTTGCAGGCTGGATTGGCTGGATTGGACCATTTCATGGGCTATAAGTTGCCAACCTGTGACCCAGAGTGCAAATTAAGGAAATTTAACTTAAAAAATAACAAATTATCACCAAAGTCCAAAAAGACACATCTGAAACACTTTCTTACCAGTTTCATTTTAATAAACAAACCCATTTAGATATCCATGCGAAATACCTAAGAGCACAGTGCTCTACCAAGCCTTTTATAAGAAAACACATTTGATCATTTTGGCTTTAATGTATTACCTATGCCTTTTTGAAATGCAAGTACTTAACCACTCTAGAGGCAGGATCTGAAATGTATACTAGTCTGTGCACATAATAGCAAACAGAAAGCTGAAGAGTGAATTTGCAGACTAGCCTAGGAAGAAAAATTGTGTATATATATCCTTGTCTGAGCTAATGCTCACTTTTTACTAGTAAAATGTAAAGATATTTTATCTAGTACTTTTCCTCATCCTTCTGAGGCTGAGTGAGCACAATATAGGGAAGCTGGTTAAAAATACTGTGACAAAACAATGTTGTTGAAAAGTGATAATTCAACAGAATCAAAAGGTTCTGTGGGAGCATGTTAATTCCACTAAAACTTTAGTGAAGACCAGGCAGGCTGGTTGACTGTGTGGGTTGGTGCCAGCCTGGCCTCCAGCCACATGGCTGCTGAGTGGGCTGTCTAGGTTTCTTGATTTTCTTTTCTTTTTCCCCCGCTGTCTACTTGGCCAGGGGACTCCAGACTTCCCTTGTCACTAACTGTATATGACATTCCTAGGTGGTCTCTAGGCTGAGTGCTAGCCTGGCCAAACCAGCTTAGTTTCTGTGATCAAACAAGATTTGAGTACATTTATTTAGTCCAGTCTAGCTGTGCAACAGTGGTTCCTCCAGACTGCCTGCCATCTCCAGCTACAAGGCTCCCACTTGAGTCGGGATTTTTTGACCCTCATGCAAACCAATGTCTAGGGCAGTCCAAGACAACACTGTTCAGCTCTTTATTTTTACTACCTGCTACTCTAACTGGGACTTAAAAAATACGACATATTTCAATATGTATTTCGTTCAAATACAACTTCTCTTACTTGATATTCTAGTGAAAATAACTCAAACTGTTTTGTTTTTGAAACTTTTAAATTTCCAGCTTGGCTTTCATTTGGAAAAGTTTCTGTGGAAAATCTTGAAATTTGTACTTTTTGACACACAACAAAATGAAAACAAGCTTTGAATTCTTGTGCCACAACAAATCTCAGTCTGTTTTACTGTGCTTATTTACCCCTCTGCATGTAACCTGAAATTGGAGATTGCTTTATCCTGGGTATTAGAGAGCCCATACTTCTTTTCAAAAGGATAGATGCTAACTACCAGGGTAAACATATTCATCACGATCCCCTTTTCCTTAGTTGTGGATGCCTCTCAAAGTTTAATGTTTTGTACATGTATAAGGATTCTTCAGGCTGAATGTATTGTGTAAGTTCTGGGTATTTGGAATGTGTTGGGCTTTTATATCTGGCCTGGTTTCTGCATGAATTTTTATAATTTATACCCCATAGCTTTTAAAATTAAACAAAATATTGCTGATAGTTGTTTTACAGACAGGTGAGAGTGCTAGTGAATGCTTTTGCCTTCGTTGCCCTCCCATTACTGACAGTCAAGGTGGAGTCGCTACTGGGCGTTACATTATCTCTTGGAAGAGGTAACTTATCCCTTGGCTTTTTGTTTTAAAAGTAGTCTGTCTGGGTTCTTTACTCTTCAAGTGATAAGCATGGCAAACCCTTCTTGGGTAAATGCATTAGGAGCCATTTTTAAAAGTGTTCATGCTGATAAAATGGGTTCTAACTGAAATAGCTGTATGTGAATTTTATTACCTTTCCATCGATTTGATCTATGCCAAATAGCTGGTGGGGGTGGGGGGAAGAGAAACAAGGAAGTATTTCACGGGATGGGAGGTGGGACTCAAATTTCTTAAAAACCTGTTCAGATATAGTAAAACTTTTTTTAAATGGTCAAATTTGAAAAACAAAACAAACTCTTTATTTCCTTTCTTGATTCATGGGTTTCTGTGTCCAAATGTGTAATTAAATATGAAAACTAAACAGATAAATATATATATGTTTGTGTTGTGAACCCTTTTTGGTATTAGACGAACTTTAACCAAAATACATTTTGGAACATTGCCTGTCATCACCTAGCATAGTGATTATAATTCCCAAATTAATTGCATTTCTTTTATTAAGCTAACTTTCAACTACTGCACTGCTAGGATTGCTGCAAGCATTGCTTTATTAGTTTGCTGCTTGATTCACTTTTCTGTTGACTTAATGACTCGGTGTCAAAAATCCAAATGCAGTCCAAATACATAATATTTCTTTTCATAGGAGTTCAGCTGCAGACAGTGTACCTGTTGTTAGCACTGTGATCACTCTGCCACATGTGATTGTAGAGAACATTCCACTCCATGTCAATGCAGGTAATGTTAATACACGCTTGAAATATTTTGGTGACAATTTCTGTTCTGGGCAGCATACATAGAGCTCCCCTGTGAAGTCTGTAGAAGCCCCAAAAATGCATCCAGGACTGGAATTTTGCTTTTATAATACATACATCCCACCCCTTTTTTATTACTGAAAACTGTATCTTTTTTTTTTTCTTTCATGGGGGGGGGGAAAGTAGAAATATGTGTAGGTTCCCCTCGCTTCATTCTCCCCCCAACCCCACAAGTGGCAGTAAAGCTTTATAGCTTCTGTGCCTGAGGTTTTCTAATTTGCTGTAGTATAAAACAGGAGGGCACTGTTGGATGCTTTCTGAGGCCAGTGAGGGTAACTCCACATCACAGTGGTTTGGGAGAGGCTCTTCCCACTCCAGTGTAGAGTAGGAGTGGGAACAGTTAGATGATTCAGTTCTTTCTACTGTATCAAAGCATACTGGGGGATCACAAAGGCACAGATCTCTCTGGGTGTTTTGCTGAACTGGTTCCTCTATATTCCTGTTACAAAACGTTGTTGCATCCACCCAGCCCCAACAGCTTCTTAAGGAAAAGGAGGCTAGAAGGAGCAGCTGATTACAAGTAAACTCTTGCCTTTCCAGTGTTGCAGTTGTTCAAGAGTAACACTGGAGGGAAGAGTCTGGTTCATGTTTCACAAACCATGCAGTTACCTACCTCTTATGTTTATTCTAATCTGTGCTGGTATGCTATCTCCTCCATAGAGCAGATCAGTCATACCATGATAAATAGAACTATCCTTGTGATTACTACAGTAATCTGGTAAAAATTCTCTTTATTCAATGTTGTGTTGTTGTTTTTTTTAATGACAAAGCTGTCTGATATCATTTAGTCACATGGTTACTCCTTTCTGTTTTAAAATGTATATATTTTTATGCTCTGTGCCGTTGCACTAGATACCAGGTATGCTTTTCTGGAGCTTTTTGATCAGATGTCACAAATCAAAGGATGTATTGATCTCTCTTGTGCCTCTTTAGATCTGTCTAATGCCTTTGAGCAAAATGACTTTTTATGAGAAGCTGATGGATCTGTTTGTCTATGAGGTCACTTGTTTTGTCTCCAAAGATCTGCCTTCATTTGGGCGAGTCAGAGAATCCTTACCAATCAGATATCACTTGCAAAACAAGACCAGTTTGGTCCAGGATGTGGAAGTATCAGTGGAACCCAGTGATGCCTTCATGTTCTCTGGTTTAAAACAGGTACAAAATCTCATCATCCTCACCCCTGTTTGTTTAACCTGATGGTACTGAGGACTTGCACAGCTGTTCTTGCAGACTTCAATATGCATTTTTTTTAAAAGAAACACTGAATACTATATATAATGTAATATACCCATGAAAAATATTCATAAAACCCAAATATTTGCTTCAAAATACTGACAAGTCTGTAAAGCATCTCATCTCCAACCAAGATTAGGTTTATGAATGTTCTACCTTTCTTTCACGTTTGTACTACTTTGTACTTCAGATGTTACCCTGTATCATGTGAGCTTAGTATGGACTCTACTATAAACTGATCAAGTCACCCTCAAGTTACTAATCTTTAAGGCTGTACAAACTGAAGAATAGGAGAAATATATCTGGAAGAGAGCACACATCCACACTTTTTTCTTTTAAATGTAAGAAGGACTGAAAATAAATCTCATCAGGCATCTGTTGTCATATAATGCATGCATGTTGAAAAAAGAAGAATTATACTTTGTAAAGAGTTTCAGACAAATCGAGTAGAGGAAAGTAGTTGTAAACACTATTTCTAACTTTTTAGTATAACTGTAAAGACTGAGTAATATGTCTTATAGTCCTTCTTTCTGGGGCTGTTTGTGATTTTTAGATACGATTGAGAATCCTCCCAGGTACACGGCAGGAAATGTTGTATAACTTCTACCCTCTTATGGCTGGGTATCAGCAATTACCATCGCTCAGTATCAACTTGCTCCGGTTCCCAAGTTTCACCAATCAGTTGCTCAGACGATTCATACCAACGCACATTTTTGTAAAGGTAAAGTTCTGAGGGAGACTTTTTGGCTGCTTGTTGTTAAATAAATTATTGGGATTTGCCTTGCTTTTGAAGATATCTGCTCTATCTGTACTCCATGCTGTTAACTTGCTTAGACAGTTAAGTATAAACAGAATTGACTTGTTTTGCAAAATTGTGTAGTGTATATAGGCAAATTACTGCATATACCTAGAGGCCCATTGGCAATCAGCTCTTGCAGCACATATTTTGTAGCAGTGGGAACTATATTAGCAACTGTATGTTGAAATCAGGCTATAGTAATAAATACTGTCCTTCTAGTCTCAGCTAGAATTGAGGTTCCTTCTATATTTTGCGTCTTGGTGGTTAAAATATTTACCAGTTTCAAGAATGATACAAATACAATGATAATATTAGGTTACAGTTAACAAATTAAAGAAAGAATTGATTGCATACAGTGAAATGGGATTTTCAGTATGTGATTAGGTATTGGGTTCAGAGAGAGCCTGACATCCACATAACACTAAATGACTTTTAAAGCTGGAAATTTTCAGTGTAAATAATATATGACATCTGTAATATTCCCCAATATTACGTAGACTTTGTGACTGGTGATTGCTTTTCATGGCCTTCTGCATACTCTCTCGGGCCCTTGCCTATTTGTTTTAAAGCAGTTCACCCAGAACACTACTCTTTCAACTTGCCCTGTTGCTTTTTAATCCAGAGTATTGTTAACCTTTTCAATCTGAGCTTAAGCAGAGAGTGAGCAGCCTGAAGAGTTCATTTGTGTGTTTGAGAGGCTTGTTCTAACATCTGTAATCCTTTGTTCCTTGCAAACGGGTTTTGCATTTTTCTATTTTATTGCAGCTAAGAGCTGGGTGGAATCTATTTTTCATAGGTGCTGTCAATCAATCTCTCCTATATCAGTCGCCAAGACTTGCTGCTAGGTCAGCACAAAGGTCTGCTACCCTCAGGCATGGAGCTGTGAACACACCTAGCATTTGCAAGAGAACCTCTTTGGGATTTTATTTCTTGTCTCTCCTTCTCTTTGGCTTCACCAAACCCCAAGGTTCTTTCTTAAATGATCTGGTGCAGTTGCATTTCTTTTCTAAAATATTCCTTTTCCTATAGAATTCCATTTGAAAGTCCTCCTGGAACCTTCCAGGACTATTCATATTTCATGCACTGAATCTTCATATCAATTTAATGTTTATATTACAGTAGTACCCAGCAAGCTTTAATTGGGTACAGGCTCGTGTTGGGAGCTATTCAGACATGTGAATGAGGCCCATGCCCTTGGAATTTAGTGGACAGTCACAAGGGTTAGAGGCCCCCTCTTAAGCATTGATTCTTATGGCTTGGGATTTGAACATAAATGTTGTGTTGCCATTTGAATTGCTCTGAAGGTAGGAAGGGTCTGGCCTTACTGGTATATAGTGTAGCGTCTTGTTTATTTGTGAACATTTGCTAGATGAATTCTGTAACAGTGTTTAACTTGATTTGTTTACAAAATTTCACCTTTTTTCCTTTTAAAGCCACAAGGTCGACAAGGAGATGATGCCTCAATTGCAGCTGCTTAACTGAAGACATGGACATATGCACTTAAATAGGACGTTGCACAGAATGTATAAAACTGCTTTTTGAAACCATAGCTTTGATCAAACTGTATACAAATTACAACTTTATTTTTAAATTACAATTATAACTATCAGTGGAACTAATGTTTAAAACATTTAGTCTTTCATGGACTTCCTCTAATGAATAAATATATGGAAAGAGTCAGTGCTCTATTTAACAAGAACCTTCTTTCTTTTGAAGTTAACTTTTATGAATGTCAAACGCTCTTTAAAGTGTTATTTAATATCACTGTAAAATGTCTTGAGAATGCAAATGAGAAGTGCAAGTTCATGTGACCAAAAAAAAGAGAGAAGAAACAGCGTTTTCTTCACTAATGATGGCTCAAGGTGCAATGTCCATGCTATTTGTTGGGAATTACAGCATTAAAAGTAGTGATTTATTACTGAAGCTTATTTTGTGCCATTTAAAACTGGAGGGCACAACCGGGTATTCAGTAAGCTGGACTATCAGTTCTACCATGATTTAACTACTACAGGCAAATCTCTTGGCGTTGGGTGGCTTGCTTATGGCTTAAGCAGAATTACTAATTTAAAAGGCACTGTTTCTACCAGGTAAGCCACAGTTCATAATTTTTACTCTGCAGTGATCAGTAAAATGTGAGGCTTCTATGAATAGCCTCATTTAATTACAGCTGGATAGTCCAGCTCTAACCTGATATGGTCTGAGTTCCTTAAAATGCACAGCTTCCAGGTTAGAGATATTTTGACAGTTCCTGCTAGATGAGTGCAGAGCTAGACATTCGGGTGTTGTACAGCTTAAAATGAACTGGTATTTAAAATATTCACAGTAAATCATGTAAATAAAAATGGCATTGTGAAAATTTCCATTAACTTTCTAAATAATTAAACAACTAAATTTTGATCTCCTGGAAAATCTTATTTATTGTATAAGTGAAATCCTATTAAACTATTTGCTGTAACTGAAATATTTCTGAAACAGAAATGAATGTGTCTTAATTCTGTTGATCTGTGCGGTGTTTAATGGCTGTGTGTGGTCCATTGGTTTGGCAGATAGATATTCTGAGCTTGATGTTTTTCTTCGTCGTTTAAAAAAAAAATATATATATATATATTTCTGCCAGTGCCTGGAATACTTGGGCAAAAACTACAGCGAAGCCAGTAAGTGGCTTGGGTTTTGTTCTTGTTTTATTTTTTGTACGTCTCTCTGAAAGACCTGGGGAGTCTAGTCCCAAGTACAGGTCAGTCCCATCATACGCGCATTTAACTTGCGCGAATTCAACTATACGTGGGGTGGGAGGGGGGGCGGGGCTTGAGTTTGCACGCGTGCCCGGAGCTGTGTGGCCGGCAGCAGTGGCAGCATGGTGGTGGCTGGGCAGCACGCAGCCATCCCCACCACCACCCCGCGCTGCGCCGCTGCCGGCAGCCGCACAGCTCCATGGCGGCAGCGGGAGGTTTGGGAGGCAGAGGCAGTCACCGCTGGCATGGTAATACGCGATTTCCCTATATGTGATTTTCGCCTTACGCGCTGACTTTAGAACGTAACCCCTGCATAAGATGCGACTGACCTGTAGCTGCTTTATAATCTCAGTTGGAGGTTTTCAACCACCCATTACTTACAGCTGAATATGGTCTTCCTGTGGGTGCCCATGCAGCAGTATTGGAGGGAAGTTTAAGTATTGGGATGAAAAAAAACAAGCTGAAAAGCCTATATTTCTTTTACCTGTCCTCAGCTATGTTTTCTCCTCTGTCAGATTGTGTTAAGACACCTGCTCAGATGACTGGCCTCGTCCCTTGCTTCCAGAAGTGAAAAGATCAGCATGTTTATTCAAACAGTTTTAAAATCTATTTATGCCCACAGATGCTTGTTTTTGGTTTTCAGCAAAACATTTTGTTTAAATACTTTCAGTATAAGATGCTAAGTTTGGCAGCTTGCTGCTGCTACTTTTAAAAAAAAAAAAATCTATACAGATGTAAAATGGAAAGCTCTCTCTCTCCCAGGACTCCTCCTTTTGAAAAGACTGTGTGCACACATGCACTCCCCCCTCCCATGTACCACATTCAATTCAAACAGAATAAAATGTTTCTAATGAAACGGTTTTTTTTTCCCCTAGTAATTGTAAGATATATTTTATGTAAAATAAGTGAGGTACAATTGTAGTAACAATCTATTGAAGAACAAGGGTAAAACTTACCACAGACATTTGCACTGTTTTACTTCTACTAATTTACCAACCAGAAATTTAAACTTGCGTCAGTTAGAAAAGCTATCCAAGAACTTTAAGTACTTTTGCCATGGGTTGTATCTTTATTCTGTTCCTCACTTTCCACCTTTTTTAAATGACATGCTTGCAGCTCAAGAAGTGGGCATACTGGCCAGCAGGAACGGCCCCAGTTGGATTGCAAGGGTGGGGGGTTGTCTGTGCTCCCGGTCAGTTCTTCCTGCCACCTGCAGGGATTTCTCCCCCTCCCCCCTTACACACATCCTTATGGCTATGTAAGTGGAGGAGGTAGGGTGATTGGGGGTGGATCTCCACTGGAGGCTCATAGAAAGCCCTTTCACTTTTTCCATGTGAGCAAGAGTGTGGTGGTTGTCTGCAATCTGGGAACTTTAATGGGTATGTGAAAATCAGCAGTCCATTAAAGTACCAGGAAACTTAAAAGGCTTCCAGGCACCCCAAGATGAGCTCCAGCTGGCTTTCTGGGCTGCTTGGGAACTGAACTCGCAAGCCTGTCAGTGAGCACATTCAGCTCACTGACAGGCTCCCCTTGGTGTGGGGCCCTCCTTTTTGCCCCTGGAGTGGAGAGCATTCCTTTATGTATCAGCCAGGCTGCTTTGAACATCTGGCTGCCCATAGCACTTTATTTTTTGTTTGTAAATTTTGTACCAAGTTGGTAGCACTACAACAATGACATCTGAAGGTAGCCCTAGAGAATCATCTTTTCTTTCTTTTTCCCTCCTGAGAATACCTACAAATCTCTTCAACCTCATCATCTCAGCACAGTAAGTTTTCACTGAATGTTGGAAGATGAATGGGTGAGCAAGCAACATAGCATTTATGAGCAAAAAACATAGTCCAGTAGCTTTCAAACATTTAGGTTCAAGGCACCCGTTAGAAAATGCAGCTCTTAGCTTGCACTCACTTTTTATAACCCAAAAAGCCGGGAGCGCTCTTGTTTTCGTACTAAGCACGAGAGATATCTGTTGGCAAACAGTGCCCGTATTGATTAGAGTGGGTTGGGCCTTGGGGAAATAAATTAAAAACAGTTGCTAGCAATACTTCTAAATGTTGCCCATTTTTCATTATGTCATGCTCTTCATTTCTATAAAGCAAACATGATTAAAAATGCAAATTTATGTATTTGGACGTGGAGATGGAAAAATGCATAAGATAGGACTGCATAAGGTGTAATTTTCTTCCTGGTGCAATGCATGTCCTGTATAATCCAAAATTTTCCCCTTTCTCATGTGTGGGCTTGATTGATAATTCAACCTAAAACCTCAGCCTGAACTTTCTACCTAGGGCTTAATTTTCCTTAGGTTCTTTATGCAGGTCTTTAATATCCTATGCTTAGAGATTCCAACTCCTTTCTATACCTTTGGTGCTAACAATTATTACCTGACAGTGTGATTTAGTAGTGACAGCAGACTACATTGTACCTTCATGCTATGTTCAAACACCTGACATCAAAATAAATCTGATCAGGACCCTGCATTCCATGTAGGGCTCCGGTGCAGTGGTGCTAATGGTTTTGGCCCTGCAGGCCAGATAAATAGTGTATGGCTCATCTGTGGGCCAGATTGGGTCCTGCACTGCCCCTTTGTGATAGAATCAGTCTCAGGGGCCCCATGCTGCTTCTGCTGAGTTGGAATTAGGCTTTGGGACCCTATGCTACCCCCATCCAGTTCTCGCACACCAGGATTGGGTCCCACACCACACTGCATGCCTGATCTTGGTATACAGGGCCATGGCTCACAGGGCTCTACAGATCTGGAGAACCCTGTAGTCCAGATAACAGTGCCATGGGCTGAGGGGTTAAGCACCCCTGCTTCAGTATTTGCCAGTTCTTTATGTATGACTGAACATCTTTCAGTATTGTTTGGGTTCACTGTTTGGGTAGTTAGTGATGCACTGAGGTCAAATTCAATGGGCCAAACAAATCCAAATGAGTTTTAACAAATAAAGCCAGAAGTGTTGTAATGATCAATAGGTGCTTAGAATAAGTAGCACTTACTGCTAGAAAACATGTGTCACTCTATATATTTCTTGCTGTATAGAAGGTTTTTCTAAATATATGATAAATCCTATCTGATTTCCCTATGGGCAGATCTACAACTTTGAAAATGAGGGTAGGGATGGTATAGTGTATTATCACATATAACACAATATATATTTTTCTCCAGTTAAAAAGAAACTAGAAGCTTTACTAATATATTAGGGCCCAGGGTTATATTATTCAGTTTGAAACATAATGCACATTCCAATAAAGTTATATTTATTTATGTGTAATTTGCTATATCATCTATTATGTATAAAAAGCACAACATACTAGGCAAAAATGATCAAAAGATGTTTCATTAGTCTTGCAGTCATTAAAATTAAATATACACATCTTTTTCAGATTCATAAAACAAAACTAGCCTTCTTGAGCATCTTGACAGTGCATCCAATGCTTCACTAAAAGTTACGTAGACAAGGTTCCTTGGGTGAATTTGATATCTTTTATTAGACCAACCCAAATAGTTGGAGAATAGTTTATTAAGCAAGCTTTTGAGTTCAAAAACCCTTTGTCAGGCTAAAAGTTATGTTCACTTGAGTTAATGTTTCTAGCTAGAGTTAAAAACAGTTGGTGTGTGACAGGGTGGCAGAAACGCCCTGTCATGAAAACGCAAGGGAAAACAAAGAAACTTACCAGGGGAGAACCTGGACAAAAGGTGAACTGCGGCAAGCCTGGGCAGGAAGGATGCCACGCCCTGGTTTATCGAGGGAAATGGCTGAGGCCATGGCAGATCAAAGGTTCTGGTTCAATCCTGGAGCAGGGAGAGAGATGCGACCAGGGAGAAGAAAAGAGCTGCGCTGAAGACCCAGAGAGGGAACAGCTGGGAAGGCAGCGACTCGCATGCTGCCACAGCAAACACAGCTGGTCCGGGAGGGAAATTTAAAGGGATGCCAAGAGTGCAGTCATTGGTCCCGGGAAGAAAAGAGGTGAGAAGATGTGGTGAAAGGAGAGACAGTGCGAGGAGGGATCAATTCTGGGGCTCGGAGGAGTGTCCTGGCATCTAACTTACTTGGTGAGAGCCAGCGACAAGACAGGAGATTTCCCCGTTTGGTGTGTTCAGTCCTGGGAGGGGGATGAGGATAACCTCTTCAGGAACCTAAAGAAGCAAGGAGACGGGTACAGATAACACTCCGGAGAGAGAGAAGTCTGGATGACCCTGAAGGTTAAGGGTGGGATTTGAACCGGGAACGGCTGTTTTGGGACCCGTGTGAGGAAGAATGGGGCAAGCAACCGAGATGAGAGGGATACCCTCAATAGGAAGTCCATAAGAATTTTGATAGATTAAGAACATGTCTAGAACATCGGGTATGATTATGGCAGGGTATGGGGATGGTGGAGCCCTGCAAAGAGGAGCTGACCTCATGAGCCTATAACAGATCCTTTCTCTCTCAAGAAAAGTGTCTTGGCACCTCTCTAACATAAAGATGTGGCAGGTGAGTTTCTAGGGACAGGACACATCCCATTCCAGCAGAAGGAGACAACTTGACTCCAAGCGGCGTGTCACTGACCTCTCACACTGCAGGGCTGTGAAATAGGAGATATATTACCAGGAGCTGCTAGCAGACAGTGGACTGATAGAAGGAAGTCTAGCTTGATTAGTGGAGTATCAGGACCCATTAAAAAGGATTGAGGTTTGTTAACACCTATGGAATGAAGAGTTTAGAAGGAACCTGGTAGCTTTAAATGAACCATGAAGTCAATTGACTCCCTCACTATAGC